TCTGCTCCCTTTCACAACCACGCTATATGTGTATGGTCTGCACTTCCTCACCTCCATTCACCTTTCAAGCCAGTCCAATCTCACTTGAGGTCCCACTTCTGCAACACACCTCCAAAAGAGGCTTCTGCTTCCCATGCTTGCACCTCTCCAGTCTGTTCTTCTATCTGTTCTTCACAGCCTTCCCAGGCAATCTTGTATAAATTTAAATTGGCTCGTGACACTCACCTTCTGCAAATCCATTTTTCACAGCCCTCAGAATAAACCATAAGACCTTGAACTTGACCTAAAGGGCACAGCTTGATCTGACCCCGGCTGGCCCTCTTCTACAACTTCCTCCCAGCTGTCCCCACCCTTGTTCTCCTGAAGTTCCTGAATAGAACAAAAAGAGGTTCAGTGCTCATTCCTGCCTTAGAATCCTCAGCCTGGAATTCTCTTTCTCCCACTCTTCACTTAATGGACTCCTTTCATCACTCAAAATGAAATGTCTCCTCTTTAGAAAGGTCTTTCCTGACCCTCTCATCTAAACTAGTGACTCCCTACCTTGTTATTCTCTCCCATGAAGTCCTTTAGAGCACTTACCACCACTTAAATTTTGCGTTGGTTTGTTTAATGTCTGTCTCCTCCTACTTCTCACCCCACCCCACCCCACCCCGGTTTCCTTTACCACAGTATACCCCGCACCTAGCATAGTACATAACATCATGTAAGTACTCAAATACTTGTTGAATGAATGTATGTACAGATTTGAATATATAATGAGAATGTATATATGTGACTATGTAAGTTAATCATTATGTCACCTTTGGTAAGCATCTGGTAAGTGCTCGGATGACTGATTGGTAGGACAGTCAGCAAGATACTTCATTCATTTGGGACTTCACCAAACTCACTGAAGCTGGCTGCTGCCAACATTAACTGCTTAACTGTAACATTATTGGCTAAAAGGATCTGGAGTCTCCAGATCCTTATGCCTTTATCATTCAATACTTGTGCAACTGAAAACAATATTTATACAGTATCTCCTCAAAGCAAATCATAGTGCAGGGCTGTGTGGGATTCCAAAGAGAATGAGAACTCTTGCCCACAAGAAAAATACCACAACCTAGTCTAGTAACTATTTTTAGCTTATTAAAGAGTTTACTTTTATAATGTGCAGATTTTGATCCTCTTAACAACTATGAAAAAAAGTATAATGTGCAGGTATGCTAAAAAGTTTCAAAAGATGATCTAGAGAAATGATAAAGAAAAACAGGGATGAAAATTCTAAATCAGCTTCTACACTTTATTGTACATTTTAAGCCTTGTTATTATGTTCATGATAATTGACTATTCACTCCAGGCTTCACCAAACAGCAGGCCCCTGAAAAAATAAAACAACACTCTCCTCTTTCTCCTCCTCCCCAGCTTGTACTTACTCCCCATCCCCTGCCTCCACTAAGCACCCAGGGTAGTCCAGACCGGTAAGCAAAGGCCAGGTCCAGGATGAAATTCAAACTCAGTCCCCCACTCCCCAAGGACTCTGGATAACTCGCTGTCCTCCTGTTCTGCTCCCTAGCTCTATACAGAAGCAAGGCAGAAAGATGCTGGACTTCAAGTCAGATGATCCCTGACTGTGTCCAAGTTCAAGGCTCACTTTGCCTTAATTTCTTCATCAGCAATATGGGCTTCCTAACTTCCATCCTGCCTATAGCTTATAACTCTCAGTTGCTCTGAGGACTAGTTCCTACAAACCACAGTATGTTGTACAAATGTGACCGAGTCATTGTGATTTTTATCAGGACTTAAGTATTTAGTATCTTGTATTGTTCTATCCTGTCTCATTGATCTGGAGTCTCCAGATCCATTACAAATTCAAGCTCAAAGACCACGTCATAGATTCTACCTACCTTCATTGCCTGTAGTACTGGGCACTTAGCACCCATACAATAAGTACTTGTGAATTGGTCACTGGTTGATTTACCTGACAAAAGTGAGTCATAGTGCAAAGTGTTCTGTGATTTTTCTGAATTTCTTACATTGATCAACATATTTTCTGAAAATCACCATAATGTTTCCCTGGCTCATGATCTTTATGGTTTATCTTCCTTTTTTCCTAACCAGCTGGGTAGAATTTCACTGAAAAGCAGACTATTTTGTCAAAGGCAAAAATAATATTTTGCTAATGCAGTCTTTAAGGTTCCTTTTAAGGCTGAGACATGGGACCCAAAAGTCACTTGATAACTGCAAGCCCCCTCTGTCACTGTTCAACAAACGCAGTCCGAGATCCCACTAAGCACAGGGTACAGTGTTGGAACTGTAGCAATAAATGAGGAAGACTGAATCTCACAGTGGCTCTGCAGTCAGACTGCCAGGGATAGAATCCTAGCTTCACCTTTTCCGGGCTGGGTGACCTTGTACAAGTTTCTCAGTTTGTCTCTCTCTCCTCCTCTAAAATAGGGTAATAATAGAACCTATCATCCTAAGATTGTCATCAGGATGAAACGAGTTAATACATGTAAAAGTTTTCAGCTTTTAGTGCCTAGTACAGGGTAACAATAAATATTAGAGATCTAGATCAATGTAGCTAAACAGACCAAGACCCAGATTAACAAAATGACACATCAAGTCAAGGAGCCTTAAAGAAATACATATCAGAGCTGTAAACCAGGTCCCCACATCCTATTCTCTTCTCTATGATGTTTCTTTGTGGGTATTTCACACAGGTGGCACTCTGGAAGATCCACTTTCCTGACACCTGATAAACAGAGTCAGTAAACACACCCACCTTCTCCTCTGCTTCAACCTAATCTGCAGAGCCAACCTTCCTGCTAGTGAGACTTCAGGCCCGCCATTTCCCATTGGCCTCCTATCTGACTCAACATGCACCTGGGGGGTTCCATCTACTGCTGGCTCCCACAGCAATACTGCAGTGAAGAAAGCAAGCATCACATCCTCATGCAGTTCTTATGAGAATTAAATGAGATAATGCCTGGAAAAGTGCCTAGCAGAGTATCTGACATATAGTATGCAGCCAATAAATGTTATCTACTAAAAAATAGAAGAAGGAAAAGAAGGAGCAAAACTCTGTGGTGCCTACTGTCTCAAAGCTGACACACATTCCAACAGCAAATGCCAGACACAGGGCAGATTGAGATGGGTGGTAGAACAGAGGGATGCACGTCTGTGAAGAATTACAGTGAAGGGCAAAACCCACTGAAGACAGGAGGGAGCTGCAGTTCCCACTCTTCCCCTTCCTTCTTAAAAGAAGACGAGGATACTGTTGGTGCTTTGCTGGCAAACTCAAGCTCCAGAGCTTTGGGGTTTTAATAATATTTCAGAACAGAACAAAGACTGATTCTGACCTCCCAATTTGCCCTCATACGCTTGACCAGCAAAACCTTAGCGTAGCTGCATTCATCAGTGGCTCTATTCAGGCAATAATGGCTCAGACAAAAGATTCAATTAAAACAGATTCCACAAGTCTCCTTAGTATATTCACAACATGCTTTGGATTCAGAGTTCTATGGCACTTCCATATAACCTTCTCCGTGTCCCAATATTGACAATTCCTAGTTCGGAAATGACAAACATAATATTAGAACAAGAGAAGAAGGGAAGCTGGTGAGAAAGAAAGAACAGACTAGACTGGGTGCAGAAATCATATCATCCATTTGCTGTCTGTCCCCGAGTGCATCCTGGGGCCTGGCCCATGGCAAGCTGGTTGGAAATGCATACTGAACGAGTCAATCTCCTCAAGAAGGTCACAACCCAGGTAAGAAGTGGAGTCTACACATTACACCAAGTTCAGATAGAGAATCAAAGCCACCTCTTCGGCTCCAGATACGCAGGGAGGACAAAGCATGAGAGCATATGCCTTCAGCAAGGAGACAGGTGCGTGCTTCCTGTTTACCTGGGCAGATATTTGCAAATAGTCTAAGAAGGGGGGCAACTAGGAGTGACTTACACAGTTCTAAGTGAATGGTTATGCAAACTGCTTGAGCAAATACAGGGAAAGAAACAAGAAAGGCTTCTGAACTGGTTTTCCTCATCTGCCTCAGTATTTTCAGAAGGTAGGGTGAAAGACAAAAAACCCGAAGGCTCCGGGCCAACCGCAAAGCTACTCTCCAGGAGGAACGTAAGGAACACCTACCGCCCCTCCCCCCACTTCGCGCCTTGGCACCAAACCAGGGCCCCTGGGTCATTTTGGCAGGTGGAGGTAGCGCTTTGCTGCCCTCGGCCCCTGCCGCGGGCCACCCGAGTGAAGCTTTCGGCTCGGTCTCCCCAGACAAAACCAGGGGAGACATCAAGGATGCAAAAGGTGCTCCTTTCTCCAAATGAACAGAAGGGACAGAGCGGGGTGGGGGGTGCAGGACAAGCCCTGCAATGCGAAAGGCGCCCAGCCAGGCTCGCCGCGGCCCCTGCCGGCAAGCCTGGCTCGCTTGCTAGCCAAGGTGCCTCAGGAGGTCGGGCAGCCACCCAGAAGGGCGCGGAAAAGAGGAGTTCCTGACCCCGGGGCACCCATCCCCACCACTGCCACTGACCCAAACGCGGAGTCCGCAAGTGACTCCACACCTGTGCTGCAAGCCCCACGCCATCCCCACCCCAGGGCGCAGGGCTGCACAAGAGCAAGAACCCTGGGTTCACTCTTCCCTGCAACTGTCGCGGGGCGCCTAGCACAGCTGCAGGGCAAAGGGGAGGGGAGGAATGACAAAGAAGGCGGAGCAGACGGCCCGGGAAGCATTTACAAGAGCCAGGAAAGCGCCTCCTCTCGAGGAAGGGCAGGAACGGCTTCCCGGCCAAGGAAACGCCCCGGGGATACCCCTGCGCGAGGTGCCGCCTTTCTCAGGCTCATTGATACTCCCGCCTCCAGCTGGTCCTCCCCCATGGCCATAGCCCACCCCACTCCCCGAAAGCTGATCCTAAATACCTTCCCCGAGGCTTTCAAAGGAACCCAGGCACCGGTTCAGCAGCCCGCAGCTCACGCAACAGGCGGAGCCTTGGGGCTCCAGCGACGGCGGGCTCTGGGCACCAGAGCATGCGGACGCCGCAAGCCAGGCGCCCAGAAGCACAGAAAGTGCCCTGCGGCTGTAGACCCTCGGGGTCGTGCACCCGCGACCTGGACCACAGGGGACTGTGGCAGCAAAAGGTGGGGGAAGGCGCGGTAAAGTTGCAGGGTCGCCCGGAGAAGTCCCCGGAGCGCGCAGTGAGGTGGGGACGCCAGCCAGGTACCTGCAGGAGTCCGGGCGCATCCGGCTCGCTCAGCTCTGCGACGCCGTCCGCCAGCGCTGCAGGGATCAGGCCTCGCGGCGCAGCCCCGCGCCTGCCGCCGCGGCGGCGAGGAGAGCCGGGCGGCCCGCGTCGGCCGGTCTGTCCGTCGGTCCCGCCCAGCTGGAGCGAGGCTCCCGGGAGCTGCGGGCGGGGCGGGGCGGGGCCCGCCGCTCGGCCGCCGCCCCATTGGTCGCAGCTCCGCCAGCCCCTCGTTTCGGGCCCGCAGCCGGGCGCCCCTGGCCGAGGGCGCGGGCGGCTGAGGACTGCCAGGCTCCGACCGCTAGACAGGCGGACAGACTGATGGACCCAGACACTGCCCTGCAGGCAGCGCGCCCCCGCCCATGCCCAAGTGCAGAGTCACCCCAGAGTGGCCGGCGCTGTCCGGTTGGGAGCCGGAGCGCGTCCCGCACCTCCCACCTGCGCTCCCTCCTGGGCCGGAAGCGCTGAAAAAAGATGACCTCCCCCGCGGCCCCGGCGGTTGGGGCAACCGCCTCTCTAAAGTCGCGGCCCCAGCGACACTTTGCTAATTTGCCTGGATTTCCTCAGGAAGTCGCGAGGCCCAAACTTGTTTTAAAACAAAGTGCGAAGGAGAATACATACAGCTCCAGTTCCTGCCAATGTTTGCTACCGGTCCCGCTGCCTGAAGACACAGGCACAGTGCAGAACAAGATGCTCTGTCTCATTCCGCGACTCACCGAGTCAGAAGAGGTGCCTGGACATTTCCACCAAGCAGATGCGCCTCATTTGTAGAAGAGGAACCAGTCGGGTCCCCTTTCCGAAGGACGAATGGAAGAGGGAGTCAGGGGACGTTGCCTTCAGCCGACATTGAGGAACAAACCACGACCTCGGCGAGGACAGCGTGTGGTCCAGAAGGCATCGCTGGCCTCGCTGCACTGAGCAAGAGCGCTCAATCAACAGCCAGGAGAAATGGGACGCTTCGGGACCCACCCCCGCGCTCCCCCTCCCGCCCCCAAACTGCAGATTTTTAAGTTGTGCAGACGTGCAATAATTCCTTGGAGCCAGCTGCTCCAAGCTAAGGCTCCCAGTGTTCCCTGGGTTCCCACCCGCAGCATGCGCCCTGCCAGCTGCCCCCAAGCCAGCACCCGCTGACCACTCACCTCAGGCAAGCACCTAGAGAGACGACGCAGATTCAAGCTCCAGGCCTTGAGCCAAGCGCTGAAGAGGGAATGGGGGCAAAGAGGTGGCAGAAAACACTTTCCTGAACTTATTGAATACCCTATGTTATCTGTGGGTTTTCTAATTGTTATTTGCTTAATGAAAAACCCACGTTGGAAATCAGAAAAAGGGAATAATCCTCACAGTATCTTGTGGGCTTCAAAGAAGTTTTCCCCTTAAAGGGGGTGTTGGTCCAGAGGAGAGGCTAACAGCAGGCAGGAAAGGCAGAGGAAAAGCTAAAGCATAAGGTGGTCTTCCCCTTGAGACCTGGAGCCCACCAAGCTCCAACAGTTTCATTTGACTTCTGGAAAGCAAAGTACAGATGCATGTGTCTGCAGAGCACTGTTTTGAGCCATTTGTCCCTAATTCCATGGTTCTTTGGTTCCTGCAGTCTTGCCTCCTCTCCTGTGGAAAAGGATCAAAAGCATTGGTCTACACTGTTATTTACAAGCAATTGAAGAAGGTAATTTTCTTACATGGTTCATCATCTTTAGCATAAGATCTAAGATTGTTCCAAAAATATATTTATATTTTATCAACACCTTAGAAGAATGCTCCCAGATCCCTCCCAGCAGTTAGCTATTTAATCATTTTTAAATCACTAAGTTTATCCAAAAAGTCCAGCATGGTTTACTTGAGAAGGAAATATGTTCAGAATCTCTAAGCACTGCAGAAGGCATCTGCAGTGCAGAAGAGTTGGCAGTGAGGTCTTTCTCCCAGGGTCTGGGTGGCACGTGTGAGCAGGCAGGAAGGCACACACAGTGGGGGCCAGGAAGGGCCCCTGTGCATCTGCAGGAGCTGAGGACAGAAGGGGTGGGCCTCCACGGTGGGCATGCAGGAGTGGGCACAGAGAACGGCCACAGATCTGAGAGTCAGAGAGACAGGACTTCCTCCCCTGCTGAGCCCTGCAGTGAGCCACTTCGTCTTTCAGCCCTGGTTTTCTCATCTGGAAAGAAAGTTCTTCTCTCTCAGGTAATCATGTGAAGCCAATGAAATAATAAACAGGACCACTTCGGATGACCCATAAGGCAGGTCTGCTCCCCAAAAGTTTGCTCTTGAATGTTGACGAAGGTTGAGCTAGGCACAATGGTAAATTCACACGCACAGTATGTAGCCCCTTCCCCAACCCCAGTCTCCATTACCAGGGGCAAGTTGTGACCTAACCGCCTCCTTTTACCCACACACTCATCTCCTGCCCAGTCTTTATGCCTGGTGAGATGACATCCCATTCCCTCTTAATTAACTGTGCTTATAGGGAAGCATCTGGATAAGCTATGCATTTAATCTGTGAGGAGTCGATCATTTAATCATCATTGACAGTAATGCTCATTCCTGTGTCGTTTCAGAGGACTTCTGGAGTGGATGGAGACACATGCCACCAATGGATGCATTTCAGTCTGTCTTCCGGGCCTCCTTTAGAAGTCTCCCTCTGTTACCCACCTATCACATGCCCATGTCTTCCCTCCCCACAGCCAAACCTGTCCCCAACTTTTTGTTCTCACTAAAGTCCAAATGACAGAAATCTAGCTGGATTAGTACTTACCTTAGCCTTGAAGGAAAGGAAAGTGCTCATTAGCTTCTTAAATTGGAACAGGTCTGCAGGTGAAAATGAAGATGTGCTCATCTCTGGCAGGAAGGTTGGGCGTGAGGTGTCTAGTCCTAATAAGCAGCGTTTATTTGGTGGGTGCCTCCCACTTGCCACTTTCTACACAGCCGCCTGAGTATCACTCCAGTTAGTCTGAGCATGTGAAACACCTGCAACTCCCTAGACCCACCATGCTTTTTCATGACTCTCTGAACACACAGCAGTGCCTCCTTCGCTAAGAACACAGTTCCCCACCACCAAGCTTTGCTTTGCCGAACAGACCCCTTCCCCTTAGGACGAGATTCAGTGGATAATGACATCATAATCATGACCCTCTGGGAAGCCGCCTCTCTCATCCTGGGTTGTGTGTCTCCTCTGCACACTCCCTCAGCACCCTTTGCCTCCCTCTTTCATAGAATCTACCATATGGGATTTTAACTGTTTATCTTCCACTCGACGATGAACTCCTTGAAGACTGAATTTCCAGGACCTTTTGTTGGATCTGCACATTTGTGAAGTGAATTACTGAAGGCTGCCCAGTTTCATCTGCTCCTAGTCAAAACCTAAATCCCTTATTTCTATGTTATCTTTTGTCAGGTAAAAATAAAACATGTAAACCGTCATATCGCTGTCTTTGCTTGGCTGCCAGGAAGCTCAGAACTAAATTTACGTTAAATTAAATTTGGTTCTCAACCAGCTAGAATGTTTTTATTTCAGATTATTGCTACAATGATCATGCTCTTTTCACAAAATTATTGTATGCTCACTCTAACTGCCCTGTGGTATTATTTTCATATCAAAAGTTTCCTAAGGCCAGGGGTGGTGGCTTACATCTGTAATCCTAGCACTTTGGAAGGCCAAGGTGGGTAGATTGCTTGAGTCCAGGAGTTCAAGACCAGCCTTGGAAATATGGCAAAACCCTGCCTCTATAATAAATACAAAAATTATTCAGGCATGGTGGTGCATGCCTGTAGTCCCAGCTAGTTGGGAGGCTGAGGCAGGAGGATTATTTGAGCCTGGGATGTGGAGGTTGCAGTGAGCCAAGATGGTGCCATTGCTCTCCAGCCTGGGTGACAAAGCGAGACCCTATCAAAAAAGAAAAAGAAAAAATTCCTTAAATCTTTATGATCTTCATGTCCAAAGACTTGAATTCGGATTCAGCTCTGTCCCTGATTAGCTCAGTGATATTTCCTCTTGGGCCTTCCATTTGGGTTGGGACTATATGATCTTTAAGGCCTTGCCAGCTCTAAAAGCTTTATGTTTCTATAGATAAAAGGAGACACTTTATAAATTATTAAAGAAAGAAAAACCCTGTTAGAGGCTATGTCTCCGGGCACAAAGGAACGCTATCCTCAGGTACTCAGAGTCACCCTCTGAAGGCCCTTGAGTTGCCCAAGGTGAGTGCCACAGAACACCTGTACCTGACCCTAGGCATGGAAAGGAAGGTGTTTCCTCCGTCACACTGGCAGGTGCTCATAACACTCTAGCATAGGAAAGGCTCTGTCTGAGAAGTTAGCCCACAAAAATATCTCAAGGGATGGCCTTCCAGATTGCTCATACTCTGGTCACAACTTGATTTTTTACCACATTTCAAGCTCTTCACACCTTTCTCTCTGCCTTACTCATTCCCCACCACCTCCCCTCCCCTCTCCTCGGCACTTTCCTCACATTCCAGCCCTACAGAAGTGGCCCATCTCTCCTCTGTGCTCACTGCATACCATCTGAGTCTTGCCTTTCTGATGCCTCATTCCTATAGTGCTTCCTTCTCCACCTGGAAAATGCCTGCTTAACCTCCAGGATCCAGTATATGTCACCCATTCTATGAGGCTTTCTCTGACTCGCAAAGCAAATTTAATTGCTTGCTCTACTGGGTTCCATTATACTCTGTACAAAGCTCCAATTACCGTTAGACTCCTGTACCATCATTCATGGTCAATATGGATGGATTAAACTGTGAGTTCCTTGAGGGCAGGAACTAAGTGGTGTTATTCATCTCAGTATCTTCAGAGCACATTATAGATGCTAAGCAAATACTTTGAGAATGAAAGGTGACCAGACATGGTGGCTATTGCCTATAATCCCAGCACTTTGGGAGGCCAAGGTGGGTGGGTTACTTGAGATCAGGAGTTCGAGACCAGCCTGGCCAATGTGGTGAAACCCCATCTTTCTAAAAATCCAAAAATTAGCCAGGCGTGGTGGTGGGTGCCTGAGGCATGAGAATCACTTGAACCTAGGAGGCGGAGGTTGCAGTGAGCCAAGATTGCACCACTGCACTCCAGTCTGAGTGACAGAGTAACGCTCCATCTCAAAAAAAAAAAAAAAAAAAAAAAAAAAAAAAAAAAAAAAGTGAATGAAAAGGGAAATGATTGGATGCCTGGATAGGTGACTGGATGGACGGATGAACAAAGACAACAGGGGAAGGTATACAGAAAAGCAAACCAAGAGGGAGCAAAGACCAGATATGTCATCCTCATGGTTCCTCTGGGGGCATTTTGCACCTCTTTAGTAGCCCTTCATTTGTGGGGCAGAACTTAAGGCATATCCTTCGTTTCCAACTAGACAAATGAAGAGTATCCCCATGGCAAAGAATGCTGGGCATACCCTCATGATCTTTTCTGCTTTCTCAGTAATAATATCTGCAAGTATTACCTGAGTACTAGAGTGACCAGCTCTTCCCAGTTTGTCTGAAACTGCCCCAGTTTTAAAATTCAAAGTCCAGCATTTCAGGAACCACTTCGTTCCAGGGCAAACCAGGACAGTTGGCCATCCTCCTAGCGATATTGCTGCCTAGGATAAAATCTACACAGCCTAGCCCCACACGCAGTGAGAGGAGAGCATGTACCTGACTTATTTCCTATGGGACGTCAGTGGAAGTGGCACATTCTGCTTCTGGGGAGTGTCCTCACAGGTAGAGGGGAGTGCCTTTCCCCTTCCCTCTTTTGCCTTCATGCTGTCTGGAGCACAGAGAAGATCACTGGATCTGGATAGACATTTGAACCCGCAGGTACAAGCCACATGATAAGGATGGTTAGATGAGTAGCTAGAAGGGGCCTAGGTTCTCTTAACAGCACTGGACTGCCCTCATTTATATGAAAGAAATAAACTAGCATCTCATTTCAGCTGTTGTTATTTGTAGTTTCTGTCACTCACATCCATCTTCAAGGATCGAGTTTCTGCCTGCTGAAAAGTGGGGATTCAGATGTCGTCCTCACACCTGGGTGCTGGCTTCTGAAGATCCCTTCTCTTCATGTTCCCGAGTCCCTTTTATTATGAAAATACCCTATGTTGAAGGCAAGAGTAGCCCATGGCTTCTGGCCCAGGTGCCAGGTCCTAGTCTGTGTGTCTGGTGCAGGTGATCATGGCAGTGAGTCCACTCCCTTCCACCTCCTGTATGCAGGCCACTGAGAGCTCCCAAGTCTAAGCCAGAGGAGGTTCTGATAAGTGCTAGGTACAGCTGAAGTTTTATTCCAAATTGTGAGCAAACTGGAGATTGTGTCAGAAGTATGCAACCTGTTGATGAGTTTCAGTGTGTTAAAGTTTTGGCATAGCACTCTTGAGTCTTCGTGATGATTTTCATTATTAAAAGTTCAAATATATTTATGAATGAGATTCAAATAAAATGTTTAAGGAATCCCACAAAGAATGGAAAGAAAGGAAGAAAGGATGATGGAAAGGAAGGAGAGAGAGAGGAAGGGAGAGAGAGAGACAGAAAGAGAGAGGGCAAGGGGAGAGAGAGGGAGGGAGGGAGAGAGACGGAGAGAGAGGAAGGAAGGGAGAGAGGGAGGGAGGGAGGGAGGAAAGAGGGGAGCGAGGGAAGGAGGGAAGGAGGAAGGAAACACCCTATGTTACCAGAATCAAGGCTGCTAGGACACAGCCTTCCTTCAGCCCTGTGGGAAAGAACTGGCAAACTCGCTACCCTGCTCTTAGTGATATAAAGAGGAATGACAGGTCTAGTGTGACCCAGGGTTGGGGAAGGGAAGGAAATAGGAGTGTCCATCATCGTGAGACAAAGGGTTCTCTAAGTGCTCAAGTGGAAAGTCATCACCCCTCAACACAGGCACCCAGGTTCTCCCGTGTGTTCCAGAAAGCCTGTGTTAAACCAAATATCATACACAAGAGGGCCACACATGGCATCACTGGGCTGCATCTGTGAGGAAGTTGACCCCTATCCTCTGAAAGAAAAGGGGTCTGGAGTCGGCTGTAACTCCACCCTGAACGTGCTCCTCAAGTGGAGGTGGGAGATGAGGTCAGGATCTGAGGCCCGCATGGGGCAAGGAAGGGAGCCCAAGGCCAGGCGTCCAGGCACAGGCTCAGCCAGGAGCCTGGGGACTAGAATGCTCGTTCTTAGCGTTTAAGAAAAGAAAAAGTGTGTTTAGACACTATTTCTCTGAATGTCTTTCTGTTCTACATATTATGTCTTGTTTCATTTTCTATTAAAATTTCTTTTGAAAAAAAATCACCATTTCTTTTCACAATAATGAGGAGGAAATTCTTCCATTTCAAAATATGGCGGTGAGAAGGGTTCAAAAAGTCGTTCTGGATGAGCATGGTGAGCAGTGAACGTCCCACTCTCTGTCAGCAGTAACTCACAGGTCATTTCATCTTGAATGCACCTCACTCTTCCTCTTTATGAACAACTGGAAATATCGAGGAGTGTTGGTCAGCTACACTGACTTATTCATCTTTATTTCCTTCTTTTATTTCCCTTGGATGCAGAGGGTTAACTTGACCATACTCTTCAGTAATGGCATATTGTCATCATTAGCACTTTCAAGGCCTCTCTCCTGGTTTGTTCATTTGTTTGTTTGTTGTTTCTTCGTTTTGCTTATTCCCTCTTCCACACTTGCATGGCCAACCCACTATCCATAGGCAGCCATTTTTTTTTTTCCATAGATGAAGTCTCACTTTGTCGCCCAGACTGGAGTGCAATGGCGCAATTTTGGCTCACTCCAACCTCCACCTCCCCATTCAAGCGATTCTCGTACCTCAGCCCCCCGATTAACTGGGATTACAGGCATCTACCACCATGCCTGGCTAATTTTTCTATTTTTAGTAGAGATGGGGTTTTGCCATGTTGCCCAGGCTGTTCTCAAACTCCTGACCAAGAGTGATCCACCCACCTCGGCCTTCCAAAGTGCTGGAATTACAGGCATGAGCCACCGTGCCCAGCCATATAGGCAGCCATTGCCATTCTAACATGCTTATCAATAGCTTCTTTTTCCATGTGTCCCTATAAAATGCATATGACTGTTTTGAATGCATACTGTTTTAATTTATGTAAATGGTAATTTGTCCTTTATCTCAATCTTTTCTTGTGTTCCACTCCACACGGTGTGGTGTTTTTAGCTCCATCATTCTTGCTCTGGGTGCATCTGGCCTGTTCCTCATTATTACCATGTTATCCACATGCTGCCCAACACTCCTCAGGCACAGATGCACAAACTACCCCAAATGCCCCCTCCACACAAACAACACTGGGATGAACATCCTTGCATGTGCCACCTGATGCACATGGGGAGAATGTGAGGGGTATATGTACAGAGTGCAGGATTGTTGGTTAGAATGTGAACAGAGCTGATAAGAGAATATTGAAATGCTTCTGCATTGGCTGGTAAATACCCAC